CTTGTAAGTCCTGTGATACTGCAAAGCATGTACATTTTTAAGGTAAAGCATACCATCCTCCCCTCCATGCATGAAATGCCTTGTGTGTATCAGATGCTATATGAGTAGTTAGGATAAGATATCATTTCTTTCCTCTCTTTCCAGCAACCTGGATTGGTGGGGAAGGTAAGGAATCAGTAATAAAGACTAAGCAATTAACATGATAAAGGATGAGCAGATTTTTGTCTGTTTTTCTTAGTGACTCCACATCAAGATGCCACATTTCTGTACACGGTGCCCCTGGGCAGAGTTATGGGGCTGTGGATTGCCCTGGAAGATGCCACCATTAACAATGGCTGCCTGTGGTTTATCCCGGGGTCACACAACAGTAAGCTGACAATATAACTAACCTTGCACTGTCGCTTCTAAAGCAGCTCATTCCACTCAGTACACTAGATAATCATCCAGACACTATTTGTTTAATACTGTGTGGTTTGGTTATGTTACATTCCACACCTTTTCCAAGGTGGTATTTCCCGGCGTATGGTGCGTACTCCAAAGGGCACCTTTCCCCTGACAGACTTCACTGGTCGAGAGCAGACCTATGATGACGAGAAGTTTGTTGCTGCACCTGTTAAAAAAGGTAATTCATTTGCGTCTTAACATTCAAGTGGACAAATGACGGTGAATAAGGAATTAATATTTCTAAGAACTTACAGTGTGAGATATACAGTGTGCTACACAAGGATCCAGTGAAGCATAGGCATTTTGTCACTCATTCAGAACGTTGTGCATATAATGCAGTGTCTAAATGCAAAATGTGCATTGTTAGCGCTGAAACAAATTGTCCTTATTTTGTACAAATTAAACAAACAAGATAAAATGTGTTAATTAGTGGATTGGTAGGTGGAATTACCATTGGACAGAGCCTGTTTCCCCCTGTTTACAGTCTTTATGCTAAACTAAGCTAGTGTTCGATAAAGAAAACATAATTCTAAAATATAAAACTTCCTTTAATGAATGGAAAATGTTTATACAAGTATTTTGATAATCGATTAAATGCTTATGGATGTATCAAGCAAAAACACCAAGCAACTGCTTTTACCAGTTCCACAAATTAGAGGATGTGCTACTTTTTACAGTATTGTAAGTTGAATGTTGTTTTTTTGTTGTTTTGTTTGTTGTTTTTAACAGACAAAACAAGTCATGTTTTCATTTTATAGAAAAAGTGATTCATTTGATTAATTAATAAAAAAAACAGCCTAGGTACTGTGCAGCACCAAATAAAGCTGTGAGAGTTGGTCAGTTGTTGCACATTTCCAACCTAACTATGAACTGTTCTGTGTTTAGGTGGTGTAGTCCTGATCCATGGGGAGGTGGTGCATCGCAGTGCTGAAAACACCTCAGAAGACTCTCGCCATGTCTACACCTTCCACATGATGGAATCCAAGGACACCTGCTGGAGCCCTGACAACTGGTGAGAGTTTATGAGTGCTGGGTTGCCCTGTGGCGTTTCTTTTATTTTTATTTCTGATGTTAATCAGCTATTTCCAGAAGTCAAAATCAGCAGGAGGGATAAATGAAATGCCCTGAGACATTGAAGTGATGCTACCTTTGAAAAAAAGATATCACAATCTTACTTTGACATTGTGAAAAGTTGAATTCATAAGCAATAAAACACATCCTCCTGGCTAATGTTAGCAAACTCTAGATATTACTGTGTAACTGAATATGGCTGCTGTAACACTGTTTTTTCATGTCACACAAACAATTGAATGGTTTTATCACAAAAGTAAACACATGTATGTTGTTTATTTTTGCTTGTGGTCCCACTCTATTTGCTCTGTTAGGTCACCTCATGATGTATTTTAATCAACAGACTTTAGAGAATATTAGGAAATGAGGAAAAATTTCCATGTTTAGCTGCTGTTAAGCAAAAGTAAAGCAATACTATGGAACTTTTGCAGCTTTATGTAGCTTTAGCAAGACTACATAATGTTTGCTGAATAGCGGCCACAAGTAACAATTGTGGGATAATGGTAAATGATGAATTGTACTGCAACAATAACAGTAGCACAAGGAGAGGAGAGTCATCCAACTGACTCAGTAATGTCCATTATAGAGTTGTACATACAGTACTATAAAGTTAGCTAATGTTAGCTACAGTACTAGTCATACCAGACCAAGTACAGCTGTGGTGCGTTTTATGCTTATGAATTCAACTTCTAATTTTTAAGCGGAAGATTGTGTTATGTCTTATTTTAAAAATGACATTGTCTCACCAAGACTCAAGTTTTTACATATTTGTCATGTTTCCGTCTCTTTGGTGTTTTAAAGGTTGCAACCCACTGAAGAGCTCCCTTTCCCGTCTCTCTACACTAAATGAAGGATGTTTTGGACATTTGGTGGAGCAGTTCATTGAAATACTACAAGTTTCCCTCTCTCCTGAAGAAGGACCAACATTATGAACAGCTTTAACCATATGAAATGTGCTATTTCACATGGCTTGTTTTGTATCCTACATGACACCATCTGTTCCTCTGAGCTACACGTAGGCTGGTATATAGCCTGATCCAGAATTACTTCAAAAGCAGAGTCAGTACTGGATTAATGGTGATTAACTCAGAACATATGAATGTATCAATGTTTTTAAATGGGAGTCTTTAATACATAAAAAATAAAATTTTAAAAAACATGTTTGATGAACTTTCCATGGACACTCCAATACAACTCATATTTAGATATACTTTTATTCAGCAACGCCTCATCAACATTATAATCAACCAGCATTATTCTTGTCATTTTTTCTTATTTGTGTCGAAACGAGATGGCAGATTTGATTTTTTTTTTTTTTTTTTTTTAAACAGACAACATTAAGCATTTCTATTTTCAAGTATGTTCATTTTAAGACATAACTTAAATGAAAATCAACTAAAATTGATGTAGGAATTAAACATCCAAATATCTTGCAGTGATTATTAAATCAAACTGTGAAACAAATGAGTTTGTTGTCAATATGCAGTCACACAGGTCCTGCTTCTCAATCATCAGTTTCATGAACATGCATTATTACATTTTTAATGTACGTAATGTAAAGGTGATGGTAAAAACAACATACTTGTAGGATCATGCTAATAAATTGTTACAACATAAAAAAAAACCCACCAAAGAACGTTTACAGACCGACATAAACCAAAGGCTGTTTATTAATGCATGCTGAAAACAAGTTTCAGGATTTAAACTGTAGCATTCTCATCTAAGAATGATGAGATGAAACCTGATGACATTTGAGGATATTTCTATAAAGCAAATATTCAAGAAGATACATAAATTGTTGCAAAAAGAAAGTTGGGCTTATGTTTATCATTTTGGCCCAAAGCATATCTACAGACTCCAAAACTTTGCGGGGTTTGAAGGCTCAGTATCACAGGGAAATGTAAATATTCAGTTTAAGGGGTCCCATCAAACCTCAGAAATACCAAGCAAAGTCAATTTACCAAACAAAAATATACTGTAGGATACCTGTGTACGGTACTCAGTTTCACATTAGTGTCATGCGGGAGCATAGTGAGTATCTGCCATATCGAAGTATAAATCAGCCCTTATAAAGAAGAGTTGAGAAGGGCTGCCATGCTTTCATCTACAATAGTAGGTAATGTGCGATAGAAAATATACTTCTTAAGGCATATCTTTTCAGCAGTAAGTACTTCATATTGCCATCGGGGAGGCAAAAATAATCTAATAACAAAAATGTTGATCAGGAAAAAAGACATATCACTAAGCTAACCTTAAATAATGTTCTTCAAAGGCAATACAAAAGGCACGTATCCGTTTGGGACAAGATACGTAAACCTTATCATTGATGATCAAAATTTTGCAGCGTCTGTACTGTCCAGGTTTCTTTAGATGACTAAAGGACATTTTCCCACTTCGCTGAACCATCTCCTGTTGCATAATTCAGGAGCTGCTGGTGTCAATGGTCGAGTACCTTGTGACACGCAAAGAAACCATACACCACCGCCGTCACCACAGAGCAAGCTCAAAGAATATTTAGCGACTCTTACCTCACATTTCTTGGTAACTGATTCTAAAGTGATCGTCTCATTCCTCAAGGAAACTGATACTGAAATGACTTCTGATCTGAAGGCAGCAGACTCTAATGTCATGCTAACATTTAGTGCCACGTTGGTTTGTTGACATAATTACCTGGCTTGATTAAGCTGTCAGCTTTTAATTAGTTGTTTCTTGTGCTAGTAAAAATGACTCCCCTCTTTGATCAACTCCACTGATTCCTTAAAGGGGACTTCTACTATGATCTTTCTTACACTTCCCCCTCTGCAAATTCACCATTCTTTCTTCCCTCCAGAAAGAGCTGGGGACAGTGGGAGAGATCTGTTTTTGTTTGTGCCATCTGTCCAGTCAAAGCAACAGCAGGATGAAGAGGTAGAGTGGGAGTAGGAGGTTGTCTATTTGGGAGGTGTAGGCTTCCAGCATAGCCACCAGAGTGACCGAGCCAACAATCCATGAGTAGGTGGAGTTCAGATTGATGCTCCCATCAAAGATGAGAAACATGGCCACAGCGATGATCTGGGCGAACACAGATGTTGCAGTCCCCTCCATGGTTTTTTTTGTGCCGGGCCAACGGATCTCCCCCATGGTGCTGCCGAACACAGACGCCACAGTGTCTCCGACCCCCACAGCCAGCACACCTGCATAAGGCACCAGGCCACCTGCACCAGGAAGTATCCCCTTAGGAACGCAGGGCCCAGGGAACAGCCATATGGGCAGAGACATGCCCACCAGCAGGTAGATGTGGGTCAGGATAAGAGGCCCGGAGTCCCGCTCATCCAGGAACAAGGTGAGCACCTGCCTGAGCAGCTGACCCAGTGGCCTGATCCGAAAGTAACGCACGTACTCCAGGAGCAAGAACACCGCCAAGCAACCCACCGACGCCACATGGAGCAGCTGCCTGTCGTATATCAGCCCTGGAACGTATGTGGCCACTACAATCAGATGGAAGTACTTCCTGACAATAGTGGAGGCCTGGTGCTTCTTGGAGCCTGACTGGCGCTGGTGGTTCTGGTGTAACACAACACAAGTGGCCACAACAGACAAAAACACCCAGTACCCCAGCAGACAGAGTCTTCGGTCATTTAACGTGACAAAGTCCAACAGCCACATGATGGGATGCCGGCCGATGAAGAGAGAGAGCCACGGCATGAGGATTCCCAGACCCAGAACGGCTGTCATCATGTGAAAGAAAAGCGATGACACCCAAGTCTCAGACTCCATGAAGCAGAAGAGCAGGGCGAAGAAGACACCCAGCAACAGTGAGCCCACGACTACGACCGGCAGGAAATAATTCAGTGGATCACCTTTGACCTCTGCCAGGTTCAGGGAGCGCTTGATGAGCTGGTTGACAATGAAGCTGATTCCACCGACAATGAGTAGCGCCTCTCCAGGTGTGAAGCAGCGTGGCAGCAGGTAAAGCACAATCAGGCTGAGATAAACGAAGATCAACAGCACCTCTAACACCTCGATGACCTCAGACACCGTCAGCGTCTGCTTCGTCGTGTAGAGAATTGCAGTGCCGGCCATGCCCGCAATCACGCAAGTGTTGGTGGGTACTGGCCTTGTGATGCCCAGCGCAATCAGGGAGAGAAACAGAGCCAGGATCATGCCTGTGATGGTGATCACCATGGAGAAGCGCTCAAAGTAGACGTTCCCTGAGGCAGAGCACTTTTCTTTCAGCGCCAGGCCCAGCAAAGGCATCACCATGGAGGCCGGGACGATGCCGCTGTTTGCCGAGGGACGGAACTGGAACACGGCACCCCCTGACCTGAGCAGACGGTCCCACTTGTGCTGCACGTAGAAAGCCTGGATGAAGAGGGCTATGCTGCACCAGGAGTGCTGGTTCCAGACCGCCATGTGTACACACAGCACCACAGCCATAACTACAGCGGACTCCACGAGCACTGGGTTGATCAGCATGGCTGCGGGGCGGAGGCTCGCAGGGAGGGAGGATGTTTGGTCTGAACAGATGGTCTGCAACAATGAAGGCCTTCTTCTGTCAGTTCTTCTCTCTGGCACACTTCATCATTTGGCAGGCATTTTTCACTTGCTGTCTAGGGGAAGAAAGAGAAAATTTAATCAGTGACGTTACCATTCAAGAGTACATACATAAAATGCAATAATGAAAATAATTCCAGTAGTTGTGAGACCGGGTGTGCTTTATTCAAGTGCATGAGTCATCTAAGCTTATGCCAACAGTGAACCTTGGTCATACTTTATCTGCTGTCTTTCATGAACTATGGTCACAATGAACGGTCACCCTGTCAGTGTGAAATCCATACAGCTTTGTAAGCACATGAATGAGACCCCAGGAGAAATGCATGCTCTTTCTACATCAGCTGAAACATTTTGTTCCTGTGGGGGTTGAGGTAGGACTGACTTTCTACTGGGATGAATCAGCTGTCGAGGTTGTGTTAACACATGGCCACCACGTCTGACGGACACGGTGACAAGAATAACCCTCCGGTCTTTTGTTACATCCATGTTAATACAACCCGGTGGGGCCAGAAACGCGTCCCTCTGCAAGCCAAGAATGCTGCATCCTCGGACAGCATCAAGCTAACGGCGAGATACAGCTGACTCCACCGAGTTAGCATAACGCCACAGAGCACAAAACTGCTGGCGGAATGAAAATAAAAGCCAGGTTAGCAAAGACAAGCATACGTACCACATCGGTGCAGTGTTATCTGGACGAAGGTGCGTTGTGGTGCGAATCAGTGCCGTCCTTTATGACAGATTTCTTTCCTTTGTCAGCTGTCGCTCCTCTCACACCCAGTAGGAGGGGGCCATATTTGACAGCTGGGTCACGTGGTACAGTCGTAGAAAATGTCACAGAAAGGCGTGGTTTTCTTTTTTTTAATATTATTTTTAATTTTCATATAAAATACATTGTTTTGGTGTTCTGTCTTTAGGAAAGCGCATACTGAATATTCCGTTTATTTATTTTTTGTTTCATAGCTAGTTCAGCATTTAAGATGAACATAATTTAAACTGGATTACAGATGTAAAGGAAAAAGGTTATAAACAATTTTTTTTCTTAGAGAATTGGAAGAATTTAGTGAAAGATTTGGACTCGGGCTGGATTTCCGTTGTTTCATGAATAGAAAAAGGTTCATTTCGAAGCAAGTAATGATCTATATCCTTGTAATTAAGAGTAGGATTAAATTTAGATTGTATTGAATGTACAATGTTTTGTCAGACAGATATTGAATCTTTTCTGTAGCTGTAATTTTGTTAAATTGTTTTGGGACAGAATATATGATGAAGCTACGTATAAAGAATGTAATGCATGTTTTTGATTACCATAATTTTAAGTTTTGGTTGTTTTATGGAAAACAAATGTAGTGAGTTATTGTTTAGTAATATTTCATTATACCTACATTTTATTTTCATAAGTGTAGATTTTTATTTAAAGCTGACCCAAGGTTTTTAGCATTTATTAATGATTTGAAGATTTGCATTCATTGCAAAAACCGGGAGAAAGAAATAGTGCGACTCTCTGATTAATCCCCTTGATTAATTATATTTTTAAAATTGATTTATTAATTTATATTCATTTATAATACATTTTTCTACAAAGATACGTGTTTGTTCCTTGAAGATGCCATTAAAGTAGGAAAAACTACTCCGGAAGGTGGCAGTTGGCTGAAAATAAGAAGACGAGGAAGAAAGTGCCTGTGACGCTTATGACGACGCAACACAACAACCAATCACATGGCAGGAACGAAGATGGCGGAATCGGGGATCAGCGTCAGGTAGGGAGAGAGCAACAAAGTTTAGCTAACGTCTGCATTGTTTAAATAGTTATTTAAGTATTCACCAGTGAGTTCACATTCCTACGCAACACGTCTGTTTATTAAGACCTATCAGCAGTAACATTTATATTTTGACAATGTGTGTTTTCAGCTGTTAGCACCACGCTAACTTAGCTTAGCAAGTGCTAGCAGTTAAACATTTGAATGGCTTTTCAGCAGCGCGGTGTGTCAGCCGCATGTCAACAACAGCAACTTGTAAACTACAACTCTGGTTATTTAACTAGATGAGGAGCCGGTGCTCACGTTTCTAGTTTATTTGCCTCGCAATTAGCTCCAACAGTGGTTAGTTGTGACAAAGGAGAAGAGGCTAATGCTTGTGTTTGTGCACGGAGAGAACAATGACTAAGTTAGCTAACTCAACGTTTTATTATTTGAATGAAAAATATTTCCCTTCGCATCTGCAAAGTTTACAAATGAAACCATGTTCTGCCACTGAAACTACCCCAGCCTTCGACCTGTTTATAGATAATATAAATTTGTTACACTGAGTTAATATGAACTGACAGCTTTTATATTGGGAAAAGTAATGTTAATGGAGGTGTAACTTTAAAGGAGGGTGTTTAAAATGCAGTAAGCCTCATAATGTATGAGTTATAAAGTGCATTGCAAGACGAAAGACGCAGTCAGCCTTATTGCGTGTGTACGCATATATCAGTATGTATTAACCAAATTTTTTAATATATCCCAACCCACTCTCTACATCAGTTTATACAAAAACATTTTACAGCTGGTACATGGAACTGCTTTAGGGGTGGGGGATATTTAAAAAATTATATATATATATATATAAAATAAAAGCCCAGGCTTTTATTTTTCCTTAAATCACTGAACTCCTGCTTATATTTGGGACAGATGACTACACGGGACAGGCCTTTAATTTCTTTACCATGCTGGTAAAGAATGAACATTTAGTACTAAATGAAGTACACTGGTGCTCATTGTTTTTGTAAAATGAACTAAACGATTGAATTGTGGAGAATCTAACAATCTGTAGAATGTCCATATTGACAAAAGTTTGAACTTTAATTTGGGTATGTGCAATCTAAGTGGCTTCGAACTAGCTCAAGGGGCTAGGGGACCTGTTTCTACGCCAAACTTCTATAAAAACCAGACCAGGCTACTAATTGAGACTTGCGTTTATTTGTCAAATCGTGAAGCCAAACCGAGCCAGTAAAAGGGTCATGTGTGTAACTGGGGCTAGGCTTTACAGAACAATTATGTTACTAAGGTTTATATGGTCTTACAGTGTATATTGTCATATTGCCCACCCCTAATCTACTTATAAGATCAAATTGTACTTACACATGCAGATGACCCATGCTACTTTTCTGTGTAATGTACATTAATGTCAGTTATCGATTTAATATATACATTGTTCTCTCAGGAGCTGTCGAGAATTATGGACCATACTGCTGGGAAGATCTGCATTGCGAGAGCCGGTATGTCTTCCTGCCACATGTCTTGCGGGGGGGGGGGGGGGGTCAAATGGTCCTCTTCGTACTTTGATTCTTGCATGTGTAATTGGTGGAATGATGTAAACCAAAATCACAGACATAATTAATATTAGCCAATTACTTTATACTCGTTATGAAGAAAATATATTTGCAGAAAATTACACTAGACCAAATGACACAAGTGATTTTTCCCCTCGTTTTTTATGAAATGTTTGACGGGCACAGGCTCAGATAGAGGCAGAGCTGGACAGACACTGGGACAGACTGCATCAAGGACTCACCTACTACAAGCCACCCAGGTATCTTACAGTTATTCAGATCCAACATCAAATACGCTGTTACCCTTTGGTTTTTTTCAATGATTAACTGTCAACCTAATTTGTTCTAGCCCATCCTCTGCTGGGAAAGTGAAGGAGAACAAAGATGTTGCACAACCATTGAAGGATTTTGGCCTGAGGATCAGTAAACTATTGGTAAGAGTTAAACATTTCTGTGTTGGGTGGTTCACTGTCTTCATTTGATGTCTGTGGAGATTCTTTGTCATCCAGGAAGGTTAAAATCAAGGGCAACTGGACTTGGTTGAAGATGCATGGTTGGTTGTGCATTTCATAATGATTTGATTTAATGCTTGTTACAGGGTCTTGATGAGCAGCAGAGTGTGCAGCTTTTACAGTGCTACCTACAGGAGGACTACAGAGGAACCCGTGACTCGTTAAAGGTGCCTGGTCCCACTTGGAATTTTTTTTCAGAAATCTTGGTGCGCTCAACAAAATCTTACCTGCTGTGTGCAGTTTTTATAGAAAAATGAGAATACTAATAAATGCATTTAGATTTTCAGTCAAGCTGTGTTTTGTATGTGGGATTTAGTGCTGCAGTCACTTGGATTAAGGGTTAGGGTTACAATTTTTCATGAGGAACAAAAGAAATCAAAGATTGTAAGAAGATATAATAAAAGATTTTCAGATGTTTGCTAACAGAGTCTTCCATACAGGTTGTTCTCAAGGATGAGCGACAAAGCCAGGCACTGCTGCTAAAGGTCAGTACATCTACAGTCATTTAGACTTACTGTGTAGTCAACCTTGATTCAGCGTGACTGTTACATTTCCATTTTTTACCCAGTTATTATGACTGTGTGTGTATTCACAGATGGCTGACTATTACTACGAGGAGCGCACATGTCTGCTCAGATGTGTCTTGCTGTTGCTGACATACTTTCAGGACGAGCGACATCCCTACAGGGTGAGAAGCAGCTGGATTTGCCTCACATCAGATAATAGAAGAAAATAAGTTTATTCTTTTTACTTCTGTATTATAATTGTGGGTGTGTTTGTTTTTGTCCAGGCTGAGTACAGTAACTGTGTCAGTAAGCTGGAGAAGGACCTAGTGAGCAACTACCAGTCGCAGTTTGAGAAGCTCTTCAAAGCAGAAGCACCAACATGGGAAACTCATGGAAACCTCATGGTGATAATTTGCTTCATATGTTTGGGTTATTTTAATACTGTATATTTTAACCTAGATCCAATATAAAATCACAAATTGTTTGAAATGAAGGTCATTTGTCCATCAAAGGATGTAAAATAACTTTTTTTTTTTTTTTTTTTTTTTTAAGACTGAGAGGCAGGTGTCACTATGGTTCCTGCAGTGTCTGAGAGAACAGTCTCTGCTGCTGGAGATCATCTTTCTGTATTACGCTTACTTTGAGATGAGCCCGTCTGACCTGCTGAACTTTACCAAAATGTTCAAAGAAGAGGGCTTCGGTTTGCGGCAGACCAACAGACACCTAGTAGACAAAAGCATGGACGCGCTGGTTGATCGCATTGGGTAAGAGCACCTCAGTGTTTGTATGTGCCATTCATGTGTTTAAAGGAACGTAATTGTAATGTCTTGTATGTTTCTCTGGCCTGCAGCTATTTGAGCTCTCTCATCCTGGTCGAGGGAATGGACATAGACTTCCTACACAAGTGTGCCCTAGAAGATTGTACAGATCAGCATCAGTTCTCCAGTGCTCCTGACGTCATCAAGGTTTGACTGGGATCTCTAAATGCAACAGACATAAATACCCTGTAATACACCTGTAGAGCAATAACACTCAACCAAACAGGTGTATATACAATCTGAAAAAGCAAAACAATGAGCTTAATTAGGCTCAAAATTGTGCACAGTTGCAACGTTGGGTAAAGCAATTATCCCTTTGTTGGAAAAATATTAGTTCTGTTTTTCAGTAGAAAGGAGAGAGGAACTCTACTAGCCCACTTTATAAATAAAATCCCTAGCTCTAATGTTCACTCATCCAAATTGCATATAATTGATGACACACTGAGAGAACTAATTTAGGCATCTAGAATAAACCATACGAACATGTGAACCTTCACATATCCTCTGATTCTTCTAGGAGATGGATCAGCTGCTGCTGACATTTGGTGACATCCCTCATCACGGGCCAGTGCTGCTAGCCTGGGTCCTGTTGAGACACACACTGCGACCAGACGAGTCCAGCCCCGTGATCAGGAGGATCGGCAACACCGCCCTGCAGCTGGAGGTGTTCAAGTACATTTCAACCATGCTGAAAGGCCTTGGAGTCACAGGGAATAATGTAAGAGACCAAATGTACCCACTTTGGTCAGGTCAAAGTTAAAGAAGGTGGACATTTTTAGTTAAAAGGAAAGTGGTCTCTTTTTAATGGGTTACTGTCTGGTCAGAGCTACTAAAACAATTTCACACTTTTGGACACCCTGCCTCACTTTGCTTAAATTGTAGAAAAACATGAAGTTAAGGAAGTTACATGTCTTTTCATGAGGAAACCCACTCTCTAATCAAAGGCCATAGAGCTATGGATCTCAGACGTCCTCCCGGGTTCAGAGTGCTTCTGGTTTTCTCTAGCAGGTAGTTAAATTTAATCACACGGGGCCTCAGACCTAAATCAGTCTCTAATGAGATGGCTGGAATGAAAACCACCTGGCAGTAGGGAAACATGCTGTACTCTGGATTAGTTTTATAGTCAGAATTTGAGCTAAATCAGACTGCGGGTTTCATAATCATGCCCCTCAAGCTGCGGTTTATATCTCCAGTGCAGCCAGACATTGAAGTGACAACCATGCACTGAGAAAATATACTGGCTTTCTAACAGTCAACAGCTTGGCTAAACGTTGTTTGTGGGAACACTGAAAATGGCAAAACTGACCACTGAAAATAGCACGTTTCTCTAACAAACCATCACATTTTGTGCATCAAAAACTCAGTTTCCTGATTAAAATATAATGCTGCAACACAAATAAACGCATAACAGTAGGTACTATCCATTTTTTCTTAGATAGCTATTTGTATTGTTATACCACATTCAATTTTGTCACTCTTTTTGTCTTCAGTGCACAGCAAGCACAGCAAAGATGTGTATCTACGGTCTCCTCTCATTTGTGATCACTTCTTTTGAAGAGGAAAGCCTACAGGTATACACCCATGCATGTTTGCATGTTAAAAATGACATACTCTCATTCATATTTGTAACCTGTGTTGGTAACTCGTCTTATCGTGATGCACGTGACAGACTGGTGGTGTGGTGACACAGTGCTCCCACCTGATCGATGCTGCCTGTGATGTCCTCTCTGCTCCCAGTCTGGCTGAAGTCTTTTGGGAAATGGTGAGAAAGAAGAGACGGTTCTTAAGAGAGAAAATTGGTTTAAAAACAAAAAAAATGTCGACTCTTGATGCTCTGCCCTGTTAAATTTTAAATCCAGAAGCCGAACATGGGATTGGGAATGATCCTGGACAGCGCAGTCGGGATGTTCCCTCATAAGATCGGACCACTGTTGCAGCTTCTCACTGCACTTCTGTCAAACAAGTCGACTGTTAAAAAGGTAGATTTCACACATTCACGGATGTATAAACACTCAACCTTGCCTTAATGTAAATGGTTAAACCATGGATTTTTTCATATCTGTTCAACAGGTGTACAACTTTTTGGACAAGATGTCCTTTTACACACAAGTTTACAAACATAAACCCAATGATGTCATCTCCAAGGACGATGAGACTCTGTGGAGGAGACAAACACCCAAACTCCTCTACCCTCTCGGTTAGTTTTTTTTGGTTGTTACTGAGATTTGAATACAGATATAACATTTAGTGTGCTGAAGAATGTCAGAGGGTCTGGTGAATTTTTAATGCTCATTTGTATCATGCATAATCACAGAATATTTAAGATTTTTTTTTAAAAGTTTCTCTCAAGTAACATACCTCCACTATAACCTTGTGTCTCCACCATCAGGCACAGGGCAGACTAATCTTTGGATGCCGCAGGGAGTGCTGGGCCAGGTGATGATTGGAGGCGAGCAGGGCTACGTGGTTCGCTGGGACTACTCCTACAGCTCCTGGACTCTCTTCACCTGTGAGGTGGAGATGCTGCTCCATGTTGTTTCCACTGCAGGTACACTGCTGGTCATTCATATATTCTCACCAAGCAGATTATTAAATCCTTTAAAAGGTAATAAGGCTGCTGATACTTGTTGTTGTCAGCAAATCCCATTTGGATACCCTCACAATACTTGTTAGTACAATCAAGTAATTCTTGGTTTTGGTCTTTCATGGGATTTATTGGCAGTAAGGATTAGGGGTAATATCAGCTACACAACTGAAAATATTTTATAAATTGTCAGTAATAATGCCCAGTTATCATCACAAGTTACCATCAGACCTCAAAGAAATGTCACCAAACTGCTTTCATAGATTGACTAAGCAAAAAAAAAAAAGTATTCGTTTTATTATTAAAAAAGAAATGTCTACTGTATCCTAGCTGATTAAATTATTATTCCACTCATTGTTGCAGCATAATTAACTTGTCTGTGTTTCTCCGCCTTTTCTTGTTCTAGATGTTTTAGCTCACTGTGCACGTGTGAAACCCATCCTGGATCTGGTCCATAAGATCATAAGCACAGACTGGACCGTGTCAGATTGTTTGTTGCCTCTCACGTCACGCATCTACATGTTGCTGCAGAGGTAAATTAACTTTAAAGAGACATTTATCTGTTTTAACTCTTAAGTGTGGTTAGTATTTGTACTTCCTATTTGAAACAGTCTTGATTAGACACCAAGAATGAATTTGCTGAATCATTTGTGTGTTTACCGTCTGTTAGGTTAACATCAGTCATCAACCCACCAGTGGATGTGATTGCCTCCTGTGTGAACTGCCTCTCTGTACTGGCTGCAAGGATGCCTGGGAAGGTGGGTATGCTGGATACATCCAGTGTGAACAGGAAGTAAAATGAAGGAATAAAAACCTCTGTTCTTGAATCCTCCTCAGACATGTAATCTATATTTATTTACCTTTAGGTGTGGTCCAGTCTGCACCACACAGGTTTTCTCCCCTTTGCCTCCAACCCTTTGACCAGCGGCTCAGTGTGTAAGGTAAAGTAAAAAACCCACAGTTTAATTTGCCTGGCAAATATCAGACTTATTTTTGGAGGAAGTACTTAAAAGTATTGATTCCAACAAAACCTTTTATTTACTTTTTTTTTTTTGTAGCGCTGAAGGGATGAAGGCAGGTAACTATGGCAACCTGCTGGTCCAGATCGAGCAGCCAAGGGGGGAGTATGCTGTGACCATCGCCTTCCTTCGTCTCATTACAACCCTGGTCAAGGTAACAGTTTTTTACCAAATATGATGTACAACTGTTTTCTGTAGTAGCAGCTAATTTGCTATTTTACATTTAAAAAAAGGAAAGAATGAATTTATTCTATTTGTTTTCTTTCTTTTTTTTAATGTAGAAATGTGGTGCTCTGCTGCTATAACATACATCTTATCTCTCTTATCCTCTCCCTGTTGATTAATTTCAGGGTCAGCTTGGCAGCACTCAGAACAAAGGCCTGATCCCCTGTGTGCTGCTGGTGTTAAAGGAGATGTTGCCCACGTACCATAAGTGGCGTTACAACACCTATGGAGTCAGGGAGAGGATAGGTAAAGGGCGCATCTCTGACATGACAGTGAATACTAGATTCTGTCTTACAGATTAGAAAAGTGAAGCAAAAACTTAATAAACACCGGCTGCATTATGTTGCTGCAGGCTGTCTTATTTTGGAGCTGATCCATGCCATTCTCAATCTCAGCCCAGAGGGAGAAGATCAGGGCAGGTAAGGATTAATTTTTTGGGATTAAAGTGTCTTAATTCTGTAACCTACACATTTTTCTTGTAAATTCGCCCAGGTGAACAGGCTGGTAGGAATAATAATTGTGGACATATTACCGTACATGCAATTGAAGTTAACAAGTTTTAATTGCACTGTTAAATAATGTTTGACATTCTTAAGGTTTTTACATTGTTATACATTAACATTCTTGAGCTAAAATGATTAGTCGAATAATCAGTCAGTTGATCTACATTGAATATGCATAGATTTTTTTTTTTTTCCCCAAACAAAAATGATAACAATTTTACTGGTTCCAGCTTCTCAAATGTGAGGATTTGCTGCTTTTAAAAAGTCTATGATAAAAACTAATCACAGATAATTTGACACAACAGATATTTAACTGTCAACTTTTCCCACTATTTTCTGATATAATAAATAACGAAAAAGATTTTTTGACAGACATTTGTTTGTTCTTGTGTTGATTTAGTCTTTTCTTTTCTTGATGCAGCACTCCCACTCTGCAGTCTCTGTGTATCTACAGCCTGGCAAACACTGAGGCTGGACAGGCAGTTTGTCAATATCATGGGAGTTGGAGTGGATACCATAGATGTTGTCCTGGCTGCACAGCCCAGCAGGTAAACAGACAAAACTTACCAATCTAGTTTTCCTCATTATGTATTCCTAGAATTAACCCCTAACCATATTTTTGACATTGCTGATTTTGACACCGATTGTGTTGTCGGGGGTTCAGTAGTTATATTTTCTTCTC